GAGAGAGAGAGAGAGAGAGAGAGAGAGAGAGAGAGAGAGAGAGAGAGAGAGAGAGAGAGAGAGAGAGAGAGAGGCGTGGAACAAGGGGAGGAACGCTGACCTTCGCCAAAGTACTCCGTGGACGTCCAAAGCGGCGGTGGGTCGCAGTAGCTGAAGAATGCACTACACGGTGGATTGCAGCAGTGGACACGACATGGAGTGCAGCCTTTTTTTTTGTGCGGCGCCCTGGAAAAGTATGGGGTTGAATTCAAATTCTTAGGGCCTCCCTGCTGGAGGGCATCTCAGGAAAATGCATCCCCCACAGAAGGGCAAATCGGACAGGCAGCAGGGGAAATAGGACAGCGGGTCCGGTAGGGGCATTCTGAAAAGTTGTGCCCCTCACTGACAGGGGCCTGCACGAAAGTTCAGAGGCCCAGGGGCATATCAGGGTAAGTCCGCCGTCGGAGGAGCAAATCACAAATAAACGCAAACTTCAGGGGCATTTCAAAAATTTTCCATTTGTTAATTTTTTCTTTTTATAACACACAACCTTTGGATCCTGGCTCCTTTTCCATTCTGGGGAGCATCAGTCCGGTTCCTATTCGACCGGCAAGTCGAAGGAATTGCATTGAGAACATGCTCACGCTCCTCCCCCTTCTGGTGTGGAGGCCCCATGGACGGCATTGATTACTTCCATCAGGAAGGATGTACCACCTGGCAACTTGGCATCTTGTTTTTTTTGGTCTGTTTTTTTTCCAGCTCTTGTATGTGTGGCAGGCATGTTGTTATATTCCTCTGCTTTTCTCACCTGTCTGCTTGTGCTCCTGTGCTTGCTTTTCTAAATCTTCTTCAGCATTCGTAATATTCTTCAGGCTCCTGTTATCATGCAAATTATCAAAAAAGAGATTGCCTGTGAGAAATTGTGGAGGCTAATGCATCAAAGCATGTTGGCAGCGTATTAAAGTGAAGCATGAATTAAATTAAAGTGAATTTCTTGCACCTTTTTGCAGGAGAACAACAGAATGATGCTCCACTTTTCTCCCTGCATCCTAATTTTGCAGGGAAAAAAAAAAAAAAAAAAAAAACAGAATGAAGCTCTGCTTTTCTCCCCTGCATCATCCTTTTGCTACCGTGGTTTCTTTTGTAAATCTTCTGCATCAATTGTAATCTTCCTCTGTCAGTTCCCTGAGGGGGACCGGAGGGTCAAAGCACGTGGGCAGGGTATTAAAGTCAAGCATGGATTTCTTGCACTCTTTTGCAGGAGAAAAACAGAATAAATAAAGAGGGAGAGTTGGTAGTCTCCTCCACACGACACAGAAATCAGAAGTAAGTGCAGGTATTCTCAATTTTTTTTGTCGGAATTATGGAATCGCTTCATTGCTCCCTGGTCTTTGTAGTGCGCACGTGTTATGTACCACCAAATATAGGAATTGATGAGGATGGATGATTGATTATTATTATTATTATTATTGTGAATTTTAATAGTTTGTTAATGATTATGCTGTGCTTTCGAAATACGTTCCCTCGCTCAGGCGATGTGAGGGAGCTTTTAATATAGAGCGTGTCTTTTTTTTTTTTTTTTCCCTTTTAATTTCACGGATACATAGTTGTTGAAGATCATGCTCAATCCTCGAACCTTCTCCTGCTGCTGTGCACACTTCTATTCAAGTCTCTGCAAGTAGTACAAGGAGCTTTTAATAGGGCCTGTCGTTCCCCTCCCCCCCAACACACACACACACACACACACAGAATCACGGATGTGGTTGAACATTCAGCTGAATCATTGAACTTTCTCTTGCTGCTGTGCCCACTCCTAGCCAAGTATCTGCAAGTAGTACTGAGCTGCTAATCTGTGTGGAATTGTCTAGAGCGTGGTAAACTTTGATCATACATGCATCAGTGCCATATTTGCCACTGTTAGCTGTGTCTCTTACCCACCTCTCCATCTTTATCCCTGTCTGTATGTGATGATGCCTAACACCCAGGCTTCTGATCCCCCCATCATGCAATCTCCTCTCCTCTGATTGTTGGATCGTATTGTTTCTTGCAGCTTCCTCTTGTTGTTTTTTTTGTTTTTTTTTAACTTTTTTCAAGTTTTTGGCTTTTTGATATCTAGCATTGTCATTTTGGCTCCTGCTGCTCGTGCATCAAATTTTCTGCTGAGTTCACCCACGGGTTGATGGTGGTTTCTTCTTTTCCAGGCAAAATATTGAAGATGCTTTGGAGAAGTTGCAGGTATGATACCAATTTCATATCGCCAAATGCAGTGCACAAAACCTCATTCGCAATGAACCAGATTCAGAATCTTCAGATCCAGCACAGGAACACACTTGTTGCATTGGGAGCTAACCAGGCTCCCAATGCAAAAGCTCACAAAGAGCTCACAAAGAGGCCATGTCATTCATTGCAATGAAACAGTCTTCACCTTTGGCAGTAGCCGATGCAGATCCCAGGGGTCGATCCCTTGACCTCAGCTTACCTGTGTACAGTATCTGCACAGTTCCCTGGAGTTGAA